GACGAGCCGGGCGCCGCGCGCACGGAGACACTGGCGAGCACGGACGCGCCGCTGCCGCCTCCCCCCGCTGCGCCCGCCGCCGCCGCTCCTCCAACTACATCCGGGCAACTCGGGCGCCGCCGCGCTCGGCCCGCCTCGGCTCTTTCCGGCTCTTTCCGCCACGCTCCGCCCCCCGGCCCCGCGCTCCCCTTTGCTCTCGGCCCACTCTGCCTTCGGCAAACATCGGCCGCGGCCGGCCTGGCTCGGGCCGCATCGGCTCTTTCCGCCCTGGAGAGCGATTCCGGCTTTCGGGACACTTCGGCTGTTTCCGGACCTGCTTTCGGGAAGCCTCGGCTGTTTCCGTCACCCCCCCACGCCGGAGTGCGCGGCGCGGTTGTGGTTGCCGCCGGGCAGGGGTCTGGACCGGACCTGAGCGGACGACGCGCCCCGCTCCGCCGCGGGCCGAGCCAGTGAGTGCGGGCTGCTGTTCCGGGGGCATGGCAGGGCCGGGGCGGGAGCCATTTTGTGTGGCTGCCTCCCGCGGGAGGAAGCTGGAGGCGGCGGCGGGCGGCTAAGATGTCCTTGGGGAGCCCCGCCGCGGTGTCTCCTTCCTCTTGTCTCCCCTCTCTCCTGCGGAGCGGGCCCGGAGCATGGCGCAGCAGGCAGCCGCCCTGCAGGGCTGCAACAACGAGGTGGTGCGGTGCCTGGAGGACCTGTGCCTGCGGCGGGCCGAGCTGGCCCGCCAGATCCGGCGGGACGAGGAGGAGCGGGAGCGGCTGCGGCGGGACGTGCGGGCGCTGGGCGAGCGGCTGGAGCGCGTGTCGGGCAGCCTGGCCCGCAAGGCCGAGGCCCGCGACGAGCTGGACAAAATCCTTGCTGAAACTGACGCTGCTTATGTGAAGATCTTGGACAGCTTTCGAGCGCTGCTTAGTGTCCTGAAGCAGGAGGCAGGGGCCTTGAGCAAAACGGCAGTGCTGGAAAGCAATGTCACCTGAAACGGGCCAGTGTGCGTGCGGCCTCCAACTGAGCTAAATTCCCTCTTGGGTGAGGAATGAGGTTAGCAACAGACCCTCGGGGTAGCAGAGGTGGGCAAGGGCTCGACTGGGGTCTCTTGTCTGTTTTACCTTTAGTTTAATGCACTAAAGCAGTGTGTAACGCACATAAAATAAAGTCACTATTTTGCTACCAAATATTCATAACTGTTTAATAACCAACACACACGAAGATATATACACAGGTTTTGCAAATCGATCTGTGGGAAAAGGAGGTCACATTTTGGTACAAATGTCTTTCCATGTCTGTTTTCAGAGAACATAATAATAATTAAAAAAAAAAAAAAAGCTTTCTTTTTAGTTTACCATATGAAATCCTCCTTGCTTTCCATGGACTTTCAGTCTGAGTAGTGCTTCCAGATCTGAGAGGAGAGGGCATTTTTTTGTCTCTCTTCACTCCTGTAGCCAAGGCAAGAGCCATATTTATGGCTTCTTCAGGGAATCCCATCCAGTTTTCCTTAATTGCTCTGGAAAAAGAGGTGTAAAACAAATGGGTGGGGAGGGAGGAAAAGAAGTGGAGCACAGAATAAGTCTCATAACTCAGTAGTAGCACAATGTTTGTTTTTTATGTTTATTGTCTAAATAGATATCTATCCGACTTTTTTATTTAAATAGATTTTTTTTTCTTCCTTTTTTTAAGGCGCATGTTATTCTAGTGTGCACATAACACAACTTCTATTATTGTGTCTACAGGCTGTCAGGCCCGTCCAAAAGCTCGTCCAAAAATAAACAGAGGCCAGGAACAATTGTATTAAAAGACCTTAAATTTAACAGGGACTATATTGACTTCCTAAAAATTCTAGCTGATCAAGTTCCTGTACTGTGCCTGGCCACTGTAAACGTGTACGAAAAGGGAGAGGGAGGTATGTTTAGTAATCTGGCTGGCAATAGACTTCTAAATCTTTAGAGATCACAGCTGCACCTTGCACAAATTTATAGGCTTTTCTGCCCTTATCATTGTAGTTCTGTATCATTGTATTGTTTTTCATGTAACACACTTCCATGAAAATTTTTTTACATAAATTGTCAAAGTTTTGGCTTATTGGGGTCATCTTAGCTGAGGGCAAAAGATTTAAATGCCTGGAAACTTTCTTTTGGATACCTTTTATGTAATTCTAGCGAATTATATACTCACAATAGGGTTGTGAAGAACACCTGAAGAACGTGGAAAGGAAGTATTAAATACACTTCAGAAGTGGAAAATTAGATTAGAGATGGTTCTTGAGCTCTGAAACTTTCTTTTGGATGTGGTTAAACCTAGCTTGGAAATAGGGAAGCAGGTTAGAGACCACGACCAGAATCTCAATTCTAATCCTATTTTCTATTTCTAGTGTGTATTAAAACTTCTTTATAGCACTTCATATGTTAGCATACTGTAGCTTTTGCTTTGTTCCAAGATTTTGTGCAGCAGTAAATCCTTTGTTTTATACTGATTCTTTAAATGTAAGGAAGTGCAATGGTAACTCTCACATCAGGCAGCATAACACAAACTATGAAACTCTTGGGTGCAGAAGTAAATGCTTTGTATGTCAGCGCAAACTGCGTCTGGCTATTTTGTCTTTGCAGTTTTATGAAGTAAAAGTTCTATTCTGGTGTGTGCCATGCTACGCTTAAAATGTGGGTGAGATTACAGTGACTCAACTAATTGTCACTATATACATATTCCGTTTCCACCAGTCTCCCTTGAGTAATACAGGAGTGATTAAAAATAGATTATCAGGAATGCTGCTGCTATTCTAGTATCCCAGTATTAATTGGGGCAAAATCCCTGCTTCCTTCTTTGCTTATTTTTACTTTAATACAGGGATGTCAAGCTCATCTGGTTCCCCAGGCTGGATCTAAAAGTAATAGGATGAGCAGTATCAGGGAGCCATGGGGCTACACTCATACCCCACTCCACCCCTGTGAACACACATCTCCAGTGGGGCTCCATGCCCCACATTTCAGCAGTGAGCCTGACCACAAATGTCCAGCCTCTAGGAGCCAGGCAGGCCAGATTCCCAATCCCAGACCCAGCTCGCAGGCTGCACGTTTGACACCCTGCTCTAAGGGAAGTGGAACTATCATTACAAATTTCTGCAAAATATTTGGACCACATCTGGCTTTGATCAATACCTAATCATTGTGTCATGATTGTTAATTACATTTCTCATCTAAATTTATTTTTTCCCTTTAGATCAGTGCAACTTGCATTTCGGTCTTGAAGCTACATGTGTATGCACACCACTTCACACTGGTAATAAATCAGTTTTCTGGAATGAAAGTTCAAATGATCTAAATACAGATTCCTTTTATCATGAATGCTTTGGTTACAGAGAAGTGAAATGGTGGTTTTTATATCTCTTGTGTTCTCCATCTTGCTTGGAGACACCATTTATAGTATAGTTGTCTTAATAGC